TAGGACAAGGAGAAATCTGTCACGAAAATATTAGTAGCGCCATCATTTGTTATTAGATATATCTATTAAATACGACTTAAAATGAAGATTAGAAAACTGATGTTTGATAAATTCTCCATGATACAAATCTATAAACAGTTTAGATTTATTAACAGTTTAGTTTCTGTTAGTTCTGTCAAGATGCGAGAAGGGGCGAATTTTTATTTATATTGGTCAATCGTTTTATTTTAAATATGCTGTAGGAGCCATAGTTTAACGATTGTTATAGATATCACCACGTTTTGCGAACACAAGGGATTAGCTCAGTTTTTGTCGCTTGTTTGTAGGAATTGAAGTGGCTGCATTGCGCTACAATGAAGGTACAATAAAGCTGATAAACAGGTGAAGGACCAAACTAGACAGAACCACTTCTGATTGTTTGCCAAGCCAAACATCCAATAAAAGTTCCACCAAGCCACTACTAAGGCACTGGGGTCAAGTTTCTCGACACGGGCAAAAGAAGGTTCAATGTCCAAACTTATTGATTGTTCTTGGTGATTTATTACCCTCTTTCACCAAACAATTACAGAGATCAAACTTTCATTTGTTGTCATGGTTCCACTCTTGCTCTGGTAAAAACCATCAGCCCCAAACCCAAATGCCTGCTGGTCCTTCACCAGGCCCCTACACTTATAGAAAGTGGACTAACCCAGATTACTTCCTGTCTAAATTTAGAAAATAAATAAGAAAAATAATAAAACAAAAATAAAAATAAAATCATCAATTATCAACCTACAAATAAACTCTGTAAATAATACAAAAACATAGAAATTTAAGAATAAAGAAACAAAATTCAAATGGATAAAGAAATAAAGATAAAATAGCCCCAACAACTTCTATTCTGCCTTTTCTCCCTCTGTATGTCGGCATTACACACGACCCGTTGCCATGGCAACCGACAAACAACAGCTCAACGAGCAGATAGAGCAGAGATTACCGATCAGGGGAATCAACACCAAAAAGCAAACATTTCCCACACAAAAAAGTAGCAAAAACACTAAAACAGAACATCCAGTCTGTTACATTATGTTGTCAGGCTTAATGTCTATATTATGATTATTAATAAGTTTTCGCCTGGACACCGCGGTGGTTGATTAGCTGATTTAAACAGCTGCACTACTGATGACTTGATGGGCGGGTTGTTTAATCCTAACGGAACCAAAACACACCGAACTGCGCAGCACATGCTAAGGTTATCAAAGTCAATACCAGGCCAGCAGCTGTTAGGCTAGTATGACTGACCCACTACTGACTTGTTCAATGTTTTCTTTAAATTAAAACGTTTTCCTCACCTGTGAAATCTGAAGCCCTTATTACCATTATATATGGTTTAATTAACTGCTAAACATTGCGTCGGTTGTTCTGATTCTTTGCGTGATTGTAGTATTTTCCTGACCACCGATATTCCTGACTCAATGGACAGCAATGGCGCATGTGTGACTTACAATAAATCACATAATGTCCAGTCCAATAATATATCCATCAATGCTGCTGCCTCGCGCTCTGTCCTTCTCTCGCACTTCCCGCTACTTAGCAGTGGGTGTCAGGTTACATTGTGTTGTATTCAATGTTGTCGGGAAAAAGAAAGAGTTTCATGCGCTTAATGTCCGATTTGCCATAACTATTTATTGAATTCATTGTCGCTAGCTGGGGTGGCAACAGGGGTGGCAAGGCTCTCGTTTGGGGTGGCAACTGCCACCCCATCCCACCCCAGTAGATCCGCCCTTGGATTTAACTGATTAAAAAAAGAGGTCCCTTAGTAAAAGATAAAAATAAGGCAAAGTTCTCATTTCTTTTTTGTTATCGAATTAGTTCCGTCCTAAAGCTGACGTAAGGCATTTACCGGGGCTGAAGTTGTATCATTGACCAATTGTATCATGTCCAACCAACAAACAAGGACAACAGTCGCAGCTGCGTGTTTTACCATTGGAAGAACGAATCCCTGGTTATAGTCAGTGTGCTCCCCGATCAAGTTGACTCTTCCCGGAGCACATGCCGCCGCTTGGGGAGGTTCTTCCGCGAAGAGCTCACCATAACGGCGGCGAGCATCTGACAAAAGCGTCCACACGTCAGGGAATTTAGTAACCATTGATATCAAATGAAATAGCTAAAAATTGAGCCTTAAATATTAATGGTGACAATTCATCAGCTTTCTGCCACCAGTAACTGGAGGGACTATCCTTAAACTGCGCCACACTTCCTTGCTCTGCAGCTGCGATTGGCTGAAACACGTCACATGACGCGACAGCACAGTTTACATAGTTCAACGACCTAGTAACCCAAATTCACATTGATGGGGTTTCATGTATTAGAAAAGATTACATTTTGATCTTGCATCAGAACGGCTTTTTAACCTCAAATTATAATGATCCCCGTTTCCTCAAAAATTTTAACAAGGCAAACCTGAATTTTTCAGCCTCAATTCACTCAAAGTCCTGCCCCTGAATAAATATTTGAAAGTCTATGTGTTTTTAATGATGATATGTAGCAGATTCAGAAAAACATGTATGGATGGTAGTATCATGCTTATTCGTTGTCTTCAAGGAGCTATTTAACCCTGTAGGTCCAGATCTCAGTTTTGATATGACATCTTCCCATTTTTATCTATTTCTCCTCCTTAGATTTTTAACTGTCCTTTGTATTTTAGAGCATCTCTCTTTCAATCTTCTGTTTCATCTGAAGAAATCATTACTGACATAAATTTGTTATAAAACTTTTACTGATTGCACTTTAAAAATTAGGTAACTTTATGTTATTAAAGGTAAAGTTTAAACAGTAATGATTTCCTGGTTAATGTCAAGTTGTCATAACAAAGACATTTTGAATAATGCCAACTTTGTATTAAAAGTGTCATAATTTACCGAATGACGCTTTATGACAACAGCCATAAATATTCATGAAGACTTATTGATGTTCATGACAGGTGTTATGTCATCTTTATGAAAGTGTCATGACAGTCTTATTCAACCCCCTTCAAATAAAGTGTTACCTTGTTTTGTTTCTGCTATTTATCTTAATTACACTTAATAGATTTGTTTTATGCCTTCAGTATTTCTCGTTGCTGCTCCTTTTTTCAAAGCTGTCTGAAGTAACTTCCAGCCACAAAAATGCAGTCTTGTGGAGTGAAAAGAGGGTGAGGGTTACGCAGGAGTTGGGGGGTGAGAACAACTGAAAACCAGCTACCGATAAGATGTTACTGTGCACAAGTTGTACTTTTATTTTTATTCTGACACAGCTACAATTTAGTACAGCATATCTAAAGAGAAAACATGTAATAATTTTATATACCGACACTTTTTACTTTGGGTTAGATCTGTGTTTGAATCAGTAAATGGATGAAGCACTCCACTGTCCTGTACAATCTGATAGTGCTGTTAGTTCATCTGTTAGTGTTAAAGCCACTCGGGCCTGATTCCTCCAGGCAGATATTGTTCCAACAGTTTTGAAGGACACTTCATCAGGTTGGGACCTGGAGTTTTCTCTTAGCATTATAATATTTCAATATTAATGGTACTACCAGTTTGGAGGCGTTTGATTCATATTGTTTGGTTTACAGCTCATAGATCATTGCTAACAGCTGGAAAACAGCGGTCTAACCAGCGGACACATTCGCTAGCTCTGGGCTGAACAGACTTCTGCTCAAAGCTATCACTGTTGACCAGTTCTTTAACTGAAGGGTTCCTTTCCACATTCTCTATTGCAGCTTATTTATCAGTCAACAGGAAGACTGGGCTTTAGCTGAGCACCAGACCCTCGCTGACCGGCATGTTGATGTGAGCCGTCAGCAGAGGGGAGCTCTTCTCTTCATGCAATACAAACACCTTGATGATGTCAGAAATGCCCTTGTCGCTGGTACACTCCACAAAGGTCTCAACAGGGTAAATAAGTCCCGGCACCAGGAGTGGGATCTTCATGTATGGGTTCCTGATCCGGTACAGGTTGTCGTCGTAAAGGAAGTTGATGGCCAGGTTCATGATGGGCCGACAGGACGCTGTATTCTGGACATTCAGGGTCAGTTTAAAGGATGGGCCAAGGCCCTGGACCACGGCGTTCATCTTCAGGGGCTCTGAGAGGCTGGAGGACATAGGGGTCAGACTGGACTCCAGAGCTTTGACATAGGCTCGAGCAGCAGCCAGCCTCATGCGGCTCAGGTCCATGTGGAAGGCTCGGTGCATTGCCAGGCCATTCTCCCGCTCCCGCAGTGTCTGGTCCACATACAGCTTGGTTTTCTTAGGGACATTGAGGCGAACACTCTGAGCCAATGGTGGGCCAGGAGTGCTGTCCATGTCATCGAACATCGCCGTCCTCTTCAGGATCTTCACCATGAGGCCGCCTCCCTTTGTGGTCATTATAAGGGTCCCATCCTCACGGCCGTACCGACCAAAGCAGATGCTGGTGACTGTGTCAGGGGTTTTGATGGTACTAAGCAGGTTCTTATCCCTGTACAGCTGAACCTGACAGTTTGCCAGGCCCACCAGGACAGCCTGAAGGCCCCTGGTGGGGAGGTCCATGGCAGCCATTGTAGTGACAGGAGCCGGCAAGATGATCTTCCACAACTTCTTACCCTGAAAAAACAACCGCAGACATCCAGACTGTTACTGTGATAGAATTCCTGCACTAACAGAAACAAAGAATCCAGGAGGATCACTCAAATTAGGATCTTAGCCGCTGACTGATTTAATCATTTACAATATTTCCTATGATCAGATAACAGTTGGTTGAAATAATACCTTCTGTGTGAAGCCCTGTAGACTCTCATCAGTGCATCCTACAACCATATTTTTCCCAACTCTCACCAGCCCAACAGGATGAGACGACAACTCGATGCAGTACTTTGGTTTCTCTGATTCCCTGACCAGCAGCAGGGAAAACAGCTGTATGAGTTTAAGTTCCAGTGTGTTAGACGAGTTCTAGAACAAGTGAGTTTGGTTAGCTTTTTCTTACCTGCGTAGGATGTAGATGCTGCCATTGCGACATGCCACTGTGATGCGGAATTCCACATCAAACTGACCTGTGACGTCCATCATGGTGGGAACAGCGGGAAGAGACATCTTCAATCACAGAGAGATGTTGGAGAAAAGGTTAGGTTTCAGTGCTGTCTCAAGAGGCAGTCAGTGAGAGAAGGTTTATGTGTAATCAGCGTATTGTTTTTATTTAAATGTAAAGGGGACAAGTATGGATTCCTGCAGTACTCCACAGCTCAGACTGAGCTACCTCAAAGTCAAAAAGAAATTGGAATAACATAGGTTCAAAAATGTTTAGATCAATTCAGGTCTAGTCAGTCCAGTTGTGTGAAGTGTGTGTACGCATGAAAAATATGAGGTGCCATATTTTATGCACATGTCAGCATGTATAAAAATGAACGTGGTGTAAATAGACGCAAACTTTTTACCTGCCTTGAAAATGTGCGGCAGCCACACAAATTCTCTTTATGGACAATAAACTACAAAGTGCCAAAACTAACTTAAATACACTGAAATCTATCTATTCAGACCAGAGGTCCCCAAACTTTTTCCTGTGAGGGCCACATAACTTTTCCCTTCTCTGGTGGTGGGCC